CGGTTTCTCACCATCCCTCCCTTCCTCTGTCTCTCCAGTGAATGTACCAAAGCCCTCGGTGCGCAGTGGAGAGGTGAGGATTCCCTTGTTGCATAGCGGAGAGGTGAGGATTCCAGTGGGAGCTCGACTCCTGGCACCACTGCCTCATGATTTGAGAATATTTTAGAAGGGCTTTATGGACCACAGCTACGAAGAGAACTCCATTTATTTGAAGAACGTACATGCATGTATGCAAGAGAGAGAGAGAAAGCACCTGCCAGTGGTGCCTATTCACACCCCACTTATGTTTCCTCTAATTAGCCATCTCATCAGGCTCCTTATCATGTACACGTGTGCCCAGCATATGCGCCTCCAGAGCCAGGATGCCAACTCTGGTCGCCATGTGGGATCTGGTTTCCTCTGCCCAGTGATGAACTGCCACACTACATTACATCTTTAAAACATGAGAGGACCAGCAGGTGGCATGGTGGTTAAGGTGCTGGACACTCCCACATGGCTGACCATGGTTTGAGTCCTGGGCCTGGTAGCTTGCTTTCTCACTTTCCCTCTCTCTCTGTGTGTCTCTCTCTCTGATCAAATTAAAATAAATGAATGAATAAATAAATAAAGTTAAATAATTCTTTAAAAAAAAGAAAAAAAAACATAATGAAATGTTTTTCTCATATTTGCCAAAAATTCTGAATGTTTACTTTTGCTATCTATACAAACTTAAAAGATTTTCTTAGTATTTCTTATATATTTTTAAAAACTGAGTGTAGTCTATTATTTTATATGTAGGTTCCCAAAGTGTTACATCACATTTCTAATGTTTTGTTATATGTTTACCATCATATTTTATCCAACAAAAGTTCATAGTCAAATTGAAATTATTTTTAACAGTAAAGTCTGATATTTTCAAAGTATGTTTAGGAAAAAGGACTTTTTGTAGGTTACTTAGTAAAATTTAGGGCCCCTTCGTTTTAACCAGTATAACCTTTTTTTAAAAAAAGATTTATTTAATTACCTGCTAGTCCCACCAGTATAACCTTCTTTAAAAGACACAGTTTATCGAGACCAGCAGTTAGCATAATGTCGCTGGACTCCCACGTAGTCGACCATGGTTCGAGTCCCAGACCGGGTGACTTTAACTCACACCGGGTGCGTGTGTGTGCGTGCCCAAGATCCTGAGAGAAAGGAGGAGAAGAGATTGCGGCATGCCCATCCCCAGTGATTTCTCGCTTCCTATCTCTGTGTCTCTCTGTGTCTTTCTGGCTGGCAAGCACACGCACGCTATAGCAAAAACCTCTCCAAAAATAAAAAATACACAGTTTATCAATAAGTATCAAATGCCTAAAAACAGGTTGAAAGTATTTTTATTTTTAGATATCAAAAGAAAATAATGTGTGCAGAAGATGCATATATAATATATATAGGTAGAGAAACAGAGACAGACTAAAGAAACTTGTATACACACATACATATATATACACACACACACACATACATAAAGCCATTCATTATAGTTCTTTTAAGATTGTTTCCAAAATTTTTTTACTATTATGTATTAAAATATAAGGGGCTGCTTAAATAAACAACACAGGTTTGAATAAAAAAAAAAAAAGTCAAATTTTAGGGGCCAGCAAGGCGGTATGGTGGTTAAGGCACTGGACTCCCACATGGCTGACCACAGTTTGAGTCCAGATCAGGCAGCTTGAAAATCATGCAGGGTGAATGTGCGTGCGTGTCTAAAATACTGAGACTAGAGGAGGTGGTACTGCGGTGTGGCCACCTCCCTGGGGAGGTGATTTCTCACTTTCCCTCTCTATGTCTCTCTGTCCCTCTCCAGAGAGTACACATGCCCTATAGCAAAAACCTTAAAAAAAATTTATGATATGTGAATTATATTTCAATTTTAACAAAAGAATGACAAGGAGTAAGATAATACAAAATAAATCACTCTTTTTTTCCCTACTAAGTTCAGAATTAAATGGGCTACTGATAAAAAATTTAAGAACATTTGATGAAGCTAGAGATTTTCTTTTTTTCTTTTCTTTTTTTTTTTTTTTGAGAGATTTTCACTATAGGGCGCGTGCGCTCGCCAGACGGACAGAGAGAGACATAGAGACAGAAAGCAAGAAATCACCCCCCAGGGGGGATGGTCACGCTGCAATCCCCTCTCCTCCATTCTCCTCTAGGAATCTTGGGCACACACGCACACGGTGTGAGTTTTAAGCCACCGGGTCCGGGATGCGAACCGCGGTCGACTAAGTGGGAGTCCAGCGACATAGCCATTACGCTAACTGCTGGTTCCTGAAGCTAGAGATTTTCTGATCTAAAAGTGAGAGCAATGAATATATAAGCAGCAATACAAAAAGTCAATTATACACGCCAGCAGGTGGTGTGGCCGTTAAGGTGCTGGATTCCTTGTAGGTTGACAATTTGAGTCCCAGACCTAGAAGCTTAAAAATCACAATAAATAAGGACCAGTAGATGGCATATTAGTTACGTCACTGGACTCCTATGTAGTTAACTGTGGTTCAAGTACCGGACCTGGCAGCTTGGAACTCACGCCAGGCACGTGTGCTTGCATACCCAAGAAGATCCCAAGAGGAGAATGGAAGAGAAGGGATTACAGCGTGGCCATCGACCCTCAGTGGTGTGTGTGTGTGTGTGTGTGTGTGTGTGTGGTGACTTCTCACTGTCTGTCTCTCTTTCTCTACAGCAAGAGCAAGCACCCTACAGCAAAAATCTCTCTTTTTTTGTGGAGAGGTTTTTGCTATAGGGTGTGTGTGCTCACCAGAAAGACAGAGAGAGACAGAGAGACAGAAAGCGAGAAATCACCCCCTAGGGGGAATGACCGCGCCACAATCCCTTCTCCTTAATTTTTCTCTCGGGATCTTGGGCACACACGTACACGTGCCCAGCGTGACTTTAAGCCACCAGGTCCGGGACTAGAACTGCAGTTCGCTACATGGGAGTTCAGCGACATAGCCATTACACTAACTGCTAGTCCCAGCAAAAAAAACTCTTAAAAAAAAATTAATAGATAAATGTTTAAAAAATAGTAATTTTTAAAAAGTCAATTAAATAACCAAAAGTTAGGATTGACTAGAGATAGACAAGAAGACCAAATTTAAAAAAAAAAAAAGACAAAAACCACCCAATGTGGTTAGTTTCTATTTCCATCACTCTTTAAACTATAGAAAAGTTCATTCATGGGGTCAGCAGGTGGCATGGTGGTCAAGGTACTGGATACTCCCACATGGCTGACCACAGTTCAATTCCTGGACCTGGTAGCTTGGCTTTCTCACTTTCCCTCTTTCTGTCTCTCTCTGTCAAATTAAAAATAAATGAATGAATAAATGAAATTTTTTAAAAAAAGTAAAGTTCATTCATTTAATAAGTTGAACATGTATTCAGCAAGTATGTGACATTAAGGACTGTGCTAAACATTTTATATATATGTCTCATATTTAATGCTCATCTCAACCATAAGCAGTTATTTTTATCCTCGTATTATGGATGAGAAAATAAGGGTTGCATTATGAAGTTATTACAACTAGGAAGAAGCTTCAAAGCCAGAGCTGTGCTTTCAGGCTATAGGAGTCCAACACCGCAGCATTCGTTGTGTGTAATAAAACACACACATACACATCCGCACGTATAAATCAAGAGCTTTACTAAGGCACCACAAGTTGGGAGTTTCTGCCTCAGACAACCAGAGCAGCAAGCCTCAAACCAGCCTACCCTTGGTCATTACCCAGGCTCTATCTCCCAAGTTGCCACTCAAAACTCAGATTTGACTGTGGTATTTCTCCCCTTAGTGCAGAACATTACATTTAGCAGCTGTTGAGAACCACATCAAGGCAGGAAAGGATTTGAAGGGATACACAGACAGCTGACACAGACACATTAAGAATTTCTCACCATCACATATTTTCATGGCCTTGATCGTTTATTAGTCCGGATCTGGTCAGAGAAGCCAAATCCTTGCCAAGAAGTTGTCTTTGAACAAATTCTGAGACATATAAAACCACCAGACCATTATAAAACAGACAAGGGCTATGGGAAATGAGGCCTCCTTATCTTAACCATCTTCCTATCACCATGTTCTCACCTAGCACACTGTTTTCAATTTAATCAACCAATTTACTGGGCACTACGTATTTCCTAGCTTTGTGCCTTGTGCTAAAAATATACTGATGCAAAAGACAAATTCGGTTCTGATCCTCCTCCTAGCTTATAGGTGTGAAGTGCTGCCGAAATACACTTTGTTGAACAAATACACATGAATACACGAAACTTCCAGTTCATCTACGGACCTTCTTGCTAGGGCTGCTCAACATCCGTACTAGTATTTTGCAACGGATAATTCTTTGTGGTGGGGTGCTCTCTTGTACACTGTAGGGTGTTTGGCAGCATCCTCGGCTTCACACCAGATTCCAGTGGCAGTCCCGCAGTTGCGACTATCAAAAACGTCTCCCGGTAGGATAGGATCACATATCCTGAGAAACAAAAAGTCTAGCGCCTTCCCCGGTACACTCGAGCCCAACCCTAATTCTCTACACACCCTCCAAATCTCAGCGCAAACCTCACGTCCTCTCCGTTTGGATCAGCGTCTTCCGTTCTGTGCCCCACTGCAACCTCTCCCTTCTACACTTACTACTGACCGCTCAGAGTCCACTCTTCTCCCGAGGCTGCTTCTCGAGGATTCCCTGGCCACTGGCACCCTGAGGGCCTGTCATACAGGTAGAGCAACTGCTGCGAGGCGAACGACGGGGGACAAGGCAAGGCAGTTAGGGGGGAAGCGACCCGGACACGAACTGTGTATATGCGGGAACATTATTTTAGCTCACCGAGGCGATGAGACGCCAGGACCGACTGCGGCTTAGAGGAGCTGCGCATGCGCCCCACTCCCGGTCCCCCCCCCGCCCCGCTCCCCCTCAGGTAGGTCGCTGAGGTCTCAGGCTTTGCCGGAGCGACGGAGTCTGTCACTCCCCTGGGGGGCTCTGAGAACTTACGCGGGCTTGAAAGCGCACCGCCTGAGCCCCGCCCCCTTTTGCCCACCTATGGCCAATTGAAAGTCAAGTCTTGCCGGTTTCCCGCCCCTTTCTGTCCGATTTTGACCAATCGAGAGTTGAGTCTCGCCGGCTTCCCGCCCCTTTTATCCCAGCTTCTGGCCAATCCGCAGTCTAGCTGCGCCGGCGTCCTTCCCTTGCACGCCGCCCGGCGTCGAGAGCGGGTGGGTCTCTCTGCGCATGACCCCGCCGCCCTGAACTCCGCCTCTGGCGCCCAGTCTCCTCCCTAGGCGGAGCCCTGCCTGCGGAGCCTTCCGGCCGGGCTCTGGACACTGCGCCTGCGCAGCGCGGGTAGCTAGCGGCCCCGTGCTGGCGAATCTCGCCCATCCTTTCTACGCCGTCACCTCCTATCTGTCCTCCCACCTGAAGGAGAGGATCCGGTTCTTGCAGAGGACTCCGTCCAAGTCGGAAACAGCAGTCAGTCTGTGACAAGGACTCAGATTTAAAGGGAAGAGGCCGGTATTGCCTCCTTGCCCATACTTAGTCCCCAGGAAAAGGAACTGTTAAGTCCTTTTGCATTATTACTTGAAGGAGACCAGCAGTTGGTGTAATGACTATGTCGCTGGACTCCCACTTAGTCGACTGCGGTTCGCGTCCCGGACCCGGTGGCTTAAGACTCACTCCAGGTGTGTGTGCCCAAGATCCCGAGAGGAGAATGGAGGAGAAGGGATTGCAGCGTGGCCATCCCCTCTGGGTGACGATTTCTCGCTTTCTGGCTCTGTGCCTCTCTCTGGTGAGCGCACGCGCCCTATAGCAAAAACCTCTCCAAAAAAATAAATAAATAAAAATAACCTCTCCGCCCCAAAAATAAAAAAATAAATAAAAATATTACCTGAAGAATCAGAGTGGAAAATTGTTTCAAAGAAGGAACAAAGCATCAGCCAAAGGAATGAAAATGTACAATTCTAGAAACCTTACTAGAGAGGGAGAGGCGTTAGAAAATGAGAGAACGAGAGAAGATCTAAAGAGGTGATGCAGAGAATGGACAAGAAACCTAACTGGATATCCCTCAGTATGCACACCCACAACACGCACACAGGTGCCCGGTGTGTTTCCCAAGCCACAAGGGTCTGAGACTTGGAACTGCACAGTTGGTTGGGATCCAACTGCCTTAACCACACACCGCTAGCCAACACCTAATTTTTAAGTTTATTTTAATTTTATTTATTTAGTTTAGGCAAAGGGCCAGACCTCATTTATATTTTACATTTTATTTCATTTTTAAATAAATAAATAAATATATATATAGGAGAGATTTTTGCTATAGGGCGCGTGCACACACCAGAGAGACAGGGAGTGATGCAGAGACAGAAAGTGAGAAATCACTCAACCAGAGGGATAGACACACAGCGATCCCCTCTCCTCCATTCTCCTCTTGGGATTTTGGGCATGCATGTACACATGAATGTGTGTGAGTTTCAAGCCACCAGATCCGGGACTCAAACTGCAGGTTCAGTACTCCATGTGGGAATCCAGCACCTTAACCACTAATGCCACCTGCTGGCCCCAATATATTTTACATTTTAACATAGGACTTTTGGTCCTATTTCTGAGACTATTAACAGTTAGTAGTTATTATTTAAGAAGTATTTAAGATTAGTTATTATTTAAGAATTATTTTATTCTATTTTATTTACTATTGCTATTACTATGTTTAATTTGGCTAGAGATGGAGAGAGAGAGGGAAAGTAAGCAAACCACCAGGTCTGGGATTTGAACCAGTCAGCCATGTGGGAGTCTAACGCCTTTAACCACCACACCACCTGCTGGCACCCAGATTAGATATTCTTAAATCTTCTGTTACTTTATTATTGTATTTATTTAGTTTAGTTTTTGCTATAGAGTGTATGTGCTCGCCAGAGAAAGACAAGGGAGAGAGAGAAAGGAAGGGAGAGTGAGAAATCGCATCCCAAGAGGAGATAGCCACACCACAATCCCTTCTCCACTAGTCTTTTCTTGGGATTTTGGACACACATGCACACATACCCAGTGTGTTTTTCAAGTTACCAGGTCTGAGATTTGAACCATGCAGTTGGCCATGTGGGACCCAATAGCTTAACTACCATGCCACCTGCTGGGCCAAGGTACTTTATTATTTCTAAAATACTTTTTGACTGGGTCATCCCTGTAGAGCTAGAGCCCACATGACCAGTCACATAGTACAAATCTTGGTCTGGCAGATCAGAAAACATGGTGTGTGTGTGTGTGTGTGTGTGTGTGTGTGTGTGCATACTCCAAATCCCAATGGGACAGAAAAATGGAAGAGAAGGGATTGTGGTGTGACCATACTCCTTTGAAGGGTGCTTTCTCCTCTCTCTCTCTCTGGTGAGTGTGTACACCCTCTAGCAAAGCGAAAGATAAAAATAAAAAGACCTTTTTCTATTTCAATAACATACATCACTGAATTGTCAACTGACATGACTAAAAGAGGACTAAATTTAGCCAGATCTACCTCAATTTAATCAAGGAAAAAGAAAAACTTAACTGCGGCTTATTTGTAATCATAATTAGACCTACTGCTTTAAAGCATCAAGTGTTGTCTGGTAGATTATTTTATAAGGCTCTGTCGTTACACAGCACCAACGTTCCTTTAACGCGATCAACAAAATTTAAGCTCATCAGCTTCCTTGATTGTTTTATTTCCTTCTATTTCCTTTAGAGATACTTAAACATTGTTTAGTCGATATTTTACCCTCATCTTTCATGACAAATTTTAAATAAAGGTAAGAGTTAATGTCTTCACTAGCAGGGCTGTTGAAACAGTCTTCACAAGACATAAAGTCGATATGGGGACCAGCAGTTAGCGTAGTGGCTATGTCGCTGAACTCCCATGTAGTCGACCACGGTTCGTGTACCGGACCCGGTGGCTTAAAACTCACGCCAGGCGCATGTGCGTGCGTGCCCAAGATCCTGAGAGGAGAATGGAGGAGAAGGGATTGCGGCGTGATCATCCCCCCTGGGGGGTGATTTCTCGCTTTCTGTCTCTCTGTCTCTGTCTGTCTGGCGAGTGCACACACCCTATAGCAAAAACCTCTCCAAAAAAAAAGACATAAAGTCGATATGAATTCCCAATGAAATGTAGTTAATTATATGTTGACTTAATTAAACGTATGATGTTGATGTGCATGAAAAAATAATATGGATTAGTCATTTAACTTAATATTTTTCAGGAACTGTTAAAGCATTAAAATGCAATGTTCTTGTAAATGAGATGTTCAGACTGTTAAATTTAACTCTTCTCATCTTGCTTGTGCCATTTCCCCCCGTAACCTATGATAAAAAAATAAATCATGGAAAGGAGTGGCCCTGTGGTCTAGCATTTAAGGGAGTAGGATCCCACAGGGCCACCATGGTTCACCCCTCAGCACCAGTGGCTTAAAAAGCATGTGTGTGCTTGCATGCCCAGAACACAGAGGTGAAGGAGAAATGGAGAAGGGATTGTTGAAGTACGACCACCCTCCATGGGCGGAGAGGCGCTTCTCACTTTCTCGCTCTCCCTCTACCCCCTGGGGAACACATGTATCCTCGTGGGAAAAAAAAATTTTTTTTTTAATATTTCGCTGAAAACGTTTATTGTTCTTTTGAATAGACGGGTATCTCAGACTCCTTGATGGGCAGGGAGAAGAGAGAGATCTCCTCCAGGGATTTGATGTTCACGGCTTTGACCAGGCGGCCCAGCTTGGTGACCGGGATCCACTCCCTGTCCTCGGCCAGCCCTGACCCCGGCCCCGGCTCCGACCACGGGGGCCCCGGCTGGAGCCCCCCCGGGAGCTGCCGCAGCCTCCTATCCCAGGACCCCCAGGGCCTCCGGGCCCTGCACTGCACCAACGTCATCCGCCATTTGGTGTTCTCTCGGAGAATAAGCGGAAAAAAAATTATTTTTAAGTTCATGGAAAAATTGAATTGACATATGAATTTTGGAGCAAAAAATGTTAAATCCACGAGTAGATTTTCATAATGTGAATTTTCCATAACTTTCCAAAAAATATATATATATACAATTTAATGTTTTTCTTTTCTTTGCCAGAGGGCCCGAGTACTCACCAGAGAGGGAGGAAGAAAACACATATACCCCCCCCCCCGATGTCACAATTCTTTCCTCTCCATTTCTCCATTCTGACATGATTTGGAGCACACAGGCATACACACCCAGTGTGTTTTCGAAGCTGGTGAGGCTGGGATTCGAACTATGCCATTGGCCATGTGGGATCCAGCTGTCTGAATCACCATGCCGTAATCCCTTCTCCACTCTTCTCCTGGGATCTTGGGCTTGCAGGCACACACACCCTGTGTGAGTTTGAAGTCACCAGGTCTGAGACTCAAACTGTGAGTCCAGGTGGGAGTCCAGAGATGTAATCGCTATGCCATCTGCTGGTCCCCCTCTGTTAACTTTTTTAAAAAAATAATTATTTTATTTAACGTTATTATTATGTTCTAGTTTGTTCAGAGAGAGACAGAGAGAGAGAGAGGGAAAGTGAGAAAGTAAGCCACCAGGTCCAGGAGTTGAACCGCAGTTGGTCATGTGGGGGTCTAGTGCATTTAACCACCACGTCACCTGCTGGCCCCGCCCTCTGTTAACTTTTTAAAGACCCCTTACAGCCACCATCTACTAGGAAGGGAGAGCTGATGAGGTCAGAAATAAATAAGGGTCAGGAAGACGAGGGTTTAGTAATATTGTATGGATGTAGGGCCAGAGGTGGCATGGTGGTGGAGGTGCCATAATCTCACATAACTGACTGCAGTTCAAGCCCTGGACCTGGACCTGAACCCGGACCTGGTGGATTGAAAATCACGCTGGGTGCATGTGCTGGGTGCCCGAAATTCCAGGAGGAGAAGGTATTATGGCATGGCCATCCCCCCAGGGGGTGATTTCTCCCCTTCCCTCTCACTGTCTCTTTCTGTCTCTCTCTGGTGAGCATACACGCCCTATGGCAAAAACCTTTTAAAAAAATGTATGGCTATATTTATCTGAAGTTGAACAGTTCTTGCCCATTTTACAGAAGAAAGGGGACTTAGGGCCAGCAAGCTGGCCAAGGCCCAGGAATTTCCCCCGAACATGAGTCACAGAGTCCTCCATGTTGAAGCAGAGATCATCTAGCCAAACCCATTCATTTCACATATGGAGAAACTGAGGCCCATAGAAATAAAGTGATGGCTCACCCACCCCAACCCTGAATCTCTCAGCCCCATTAACGTAAGAGCACTAAAACTTTATGACCCAATTACATAGAAAGGAATCAGACAAAACAGAATTCCCTGCTGTTTATTGACCATCTCTTCGGCACCTTCTCACCATCATGAGCAACCCGGTCCGCCCCAGAGGAGTTGCAGAGATGGGAAGGGAAAGTGGAGTGAGGAAGCACAGCTTAAGCAGCCACACTCCTTAGCAGGCAGGAGTTGGGGCCCATCTTCACCGTCATCCACTCCAAACTTCTGTGTTCCTAACAAGAGGATAGACTACTTGCCTCCCACCTTAAATCTTCCTCTACTCTACCCTTGCCCCAGCGAAGTAAACTACAGGTCAAGCTCTCAGGCTGGGGTTTGTGCTGGGGCAGGAGTCAGGGCAGGGTTTTATCCCAGCATCCAGCCGGTCAGCATCCTGCCTGTCACCGTCAGAAGAAAGATGGCCATCCAGGCTCCTGCAAGAAGTAAAGAAATGATCATAAAATAGGATATTCAGTGGCTTTGCGAGCAAGAGAGCACTAAGAGCACTTTAGGCTTAAATACTCAATTTTGGGGACTTATTTAGGAACCCATTTATTTATTCTTTGTTTTTTTTTTTTTTTAATTTGCTAGAGGGCATGTGTGCTTGCCAGAGAGAGATAGAAAAAGAGAGAGAAGTGAGAAAGCACCCCTGGGGGAGTGGCTGAGTTGCAATCCCTTCTGCACGTCTCCTTTTTTTTTTTTTTTGGAGAGATTTTCACTGTAGGGCGCGTGCGCTCGCCGGACAGACAGAGAGAGACATAGAGACAGAAAGCGAGAAATCACCCCCCAGGGGGGATGGTCACGCCGCAATCCCTTCTCCTCCATTCTCCTCTCGGGATCTTGGGCACGCACGCACACGCGCCCGGCGTGAGTTTTAAGCCACTGGGTCCAGGACGTGAACCGCAGTCGACTACGTGAGAGTCCAGCGATATAGCCATTATGCTAACTGCTGGTTCCCTGCACGTCTCCTTTCAGGGTTTCGGGCATGCATGCACATGCACCCGGTGTGTTCTTCACACGCAGCATGTTTTTCTAGCCCCTGGGTCTGAGAGTCGAACCTGCAGTTGGCTATGTGGGATCAGCTGACTTAACCATCATGCCACCAGCTGGCTCTCTTCCATTCTTCCTTGGGACTGACCATGTGGCAGTTAGATTGGGGATGGAGAGGAGGCCGTAACAGAGATGAAAGACACTCCCTGGGTCAGTGCGGGGCCCCACACAGCCCGCTCCCTAGCCCTTGTTACCGCCTTCCCCGCCCTCCTACTCTAAGCACTTCTCATGATCTCAGGCCTGAGAGAGACCAGCCACCAGTCCCAGACGGCAGCCGCGCTGTGTACTGCTGACCAGGCCGACTCAGAGGCCGGTTAACCTCCCAGCTCACAGAGTTAGCAGAAACAGGATTCCGGACCAGCCCCTGCCAGGACCCACGTGCACCCCCAGGCCCTGGCGCACCCATCAGCACTTACTTCAGGACAGCAGTCCCCTTGTACCAACCTGCCAAGCTGCTGCTGCCGGAAGTGCGGGGCTCTGAAACCACACAGAAAGGCGGACCAGGCTTAGAGGCCATCACACAGGTAAGGCCAGCACTCGTTCCCCAGTCCATCAAGGCTGGGCAAAGGGGCTGGCCCCCTCCTGGGGTAGGGACTCAGGGTGGTGATGGACCTCCTGCTTCTGGTGAGAAAGATTTACTGAGAAGGGAAGGCAGGCTTTCCTGTGAGGGTCGGAGCTTTGGAGGGCTGTTATGGAGGAGGAGCACACGAGAGAGTGCTTAGACCAGCAAGGAAGATGAATCAAGATGGGTTTGGAGCAGAAGCACCTCCATCTTTGAACTTTATGTTATACTTGCTTCCTCCTTTTGCCCAGGGTAAATAGAGTGATTAACAGTCTTATTGTTGGGACCAGCAGGTGACGTGGTGGTTAAGGCACTGGAATTTCCACATGGCTGACCACGGTTCAAGTCCTGGACCTGGCAGCTTGCTTTCTCACTCTTCCTCTCTTTCTCTGGCAAAATTCATGCGAAAGTAATAATAACAAGTAAAATAATTCTTTTGTAAAATAGTCTTACTGTCCTTGCTAACTAGCCTGAAACCTTTTTGTTTAGATGTTCCTTGGCAATGTAATCACCAATCACCAGACCCCTGTCCGGACCACGGGGCCCATTAAACAAAGGTCTAGAGCGCGCCCTTAGAAATGATTAACCTGCTCCATCCGGCTTCTGTAACTGCTGTTGCATGGGGACCCCACTCCCTTTCCTCCTCACCCCCTCCTCGGTTTCCATTGTAATCACCATATCAACTCAAAATTGATTGTGATCTCTGCCTTTATAAGCACCCCTCTCCTTTAATTCGGGGCTGCAGGGTTTTTGAGAGACATGAGTCCCCCCATATGCTGCTGGCTTAATCAATATAGACTCCAATAATCTGGCTATGTCTGGATGTCCTCTTTAAATATATATATATATATTTAATTTTATTTATTCATATATTTATCTTATTTGTTCTTATTTTTTAATTTTACCAGAGTGAGATTGAGAGAGAAAAAGTGAGAAAGCAAGCCACCGGGTCTGGGAGTTGAACCATGGTTGGCCTTGTGGGAATGTCCACCGCCTTCACCACCACGCCACCTGCTGGTCTTAGAGAGGACTTAGTTCTCTCTGATTAGGTTGGTCTGGGAGAAGACTGCTCTGGTGGGAAAGGTGCGGATGGGACAGAGGGAGGCACAACGCCTCAGGCTCCAGAAATTCAGGCGGTGAAAACAGGCCCGGCGGCAGGGAAGGGACCTGTCTGGACAGAGGGAGAGCCAGACAAGGCGCAGAGACGAGACTCGGATTTAGGGAGGAGGTAAGGGTGAAGGAGAGAGCCGCGGGAGAGGCAGGGCTGCAGAGCAGGGCCGTGGGAGGCCGCGATGATCCGGTTACCTCTCAGGCGGATGGGCCCGAACACCATCCAGCCGCTGCTCCGCCCTTGGCCCTCCGGGGCTCGCATCTCCGAGGCTTGAGTCTTCGCACGTGGTTTCGGACTACAGGTCTGTGGGCAGCACCAGCATCCGGGCAGCAAGGCCTGCTGGTTACGACGGGGCCCGAGACACCAGCGTGCCCTGCCTCGCCCTGCACCCCCCTCGCAGTGAGTTTCCCAGTCCTTTAAACGCCCGCCCTGGACAGCGCTGCACAGGCTCCTCCACCCTGCTACCCTCTTGGGAAGGACGGGTCCCCTCTCCTCCCCTCCCCGCCCCCGTCTGCCAGGCCCCGCCCCAGCCCCGCCCCCGGGGGGAGGGCGTCCTGCCCGCTTGTCGCACAGGGTCACTCGGCCATGCAGGTAGAACGGGTCACGGGCCGCCAGGTGGAACAGGTTGAAGGCTAACGTCACCTGCAGAGAATCCCCGTTGGCCTGCAGGCCCTGCAGCAGCCGGTTGCTGACTGGGCAGCTGTGGGGAGAGGCGGCGTTGTTGTACCCTGGTTAGGAGCCCCACGCTCGGGGTAGGCAGTGTGGAGGGGCCAACTTCGGCTTCTCCGGGCCCAGCAGATGGTGTTGCAACTGCATTGCCAGACTCCACATGGCCGACGGCAGTTTGAGTCCGAGACACAGTGGTTTCAAAACCACGCTGGTGGGACCAGCAGTTAGCGTAATGGCTATGTCGCTAGACTCCCATGTAGCTGAGCGCGGTTTGAGTCCCAGACCCGGTGGCTTAACAACTCACTCCGGGCACATGTGCGTGCGTGCCCAAGATCCCGAGAGGAGAATGGAGGAGGGTGTTGTCCGGGGCCGTTGCCCCCGGGGGGGGGGGCGGTGATTTCTCGCTTTCTGTCTCTCTGGTGAGCGCATGCGCCCTATGGCAAAAACCTCTCCAAAAAAAAAAAAATCACGCATTGGCGCCAGAATCACATGTGCCTGTGTGCCTGGAGGATGGAGGAGAAGGGGTTGCTGCTATCCCTCTGGGGGTGATTTCTCACTTTCCTTCTGTCTGTCTCCTGAGAGCCCACAGGCCGCAATGCAAAAACTCTTTGTTTACTTGTCCTGTACAGGGGTGGGTGGAGAACTTTAAGTTGATTCTTTCATTGGCTCCTCACACCTATCCCTCTTTCTTTTTTTAAAGATGAGGAAACTGTGACTGGCCTATGGCCTAGTGGTTAAGGGAGCCAGATCCTAGATCCCACATGGTCTACCACAGTTCGAATCCCAGCCCTGGTGGATTGAAAAACCACGGCGTGCCCAAAATCCAGAGGGATGGAGAACTGGAGGATTGCCCTGTGTACTGAAACGCAGATTGGCGGAGTGGTTGGCCTACATTCCGCAGGTAGCAGCCCAGCACCTGCCCCTGCCCATCCCCTTAGTCACTAAGATTTATTCCTCCCGGGAGGGGTGACAGGCTAGGGCGGATTTGACAATGGTGTAGTTCAGAGCCGAGACCAGAGCATGGACAGCCAGTAGTGTGTCCTTGGGCAAGTCACCGAAACTCTTGAGTACTTGCTAGTCCTCGTGTTTGTAACGCAGGGGAAATAATACTTCCCAGGGTTGTCTTGAGGAGTAATGAGGTTATGAATGATTCATTGTGCTCTGCGAAGACTTGCTGATATTCAGAAAACATAGCCTACAAGTCAGGAGACTCGGGTCCCTCCCCAGGCAGCCGAGGGTAAGGACTTAGTCTCCCACCTCTGTGTCCCCAACCCTTAGCAAGGTCTGTCACTTACCAGTTGTAAGCTGAACCTTCATTTTTCCATTTATAAAATGGAATGAAAATGTAAGTACCTCATAGATTGTCATGCGGCTTTAATGCGTCAATATACGTGATGGGGCCAGCAGGTGGCGTGGTGGTTAAGGCTCTGGACTCCCACATGGCAGACCATGGTTCAGCACCTGACCTGGTGGCTTGCTTTCTCACTTTCTCGCTCGCTCTCTCTGGTGAGTACACATGCCCTGTAACAAAATTAAAATAATAATAATGATAAGAAAAGTTAAATTTAAAATATGTGTATATATATAAAGTGATTCAAATCGTGCCTGGCATGCGTAAGTGCTCTGGCAACATTAGCTCATAACAGCGATGTGGGTCTCATACATACATGGTGTATGCATGTTGAAGTGTTCAATTTTGGTTTTGTTTCTAGTTTAATCACAATAGACCCTGAGCCATTGTTTGAGGAAAGAATAAAAATAAATGAATGTCATTTATTGGTTGTGAGATCTTGGGCAGGCTTTAATTTAGTCACCTGCAAAATGGGAACCATTTATTCATTTATACATTTATTCAACCAAATGCACCCCCCATTCCTCTCTCTCTCTCTCTCTCTTTCTTTCTTTCTTCTTTCTTTCTCCTTTCTTCCTTTCTCTTTCTTTTTTTCCTTAGAGACAGATCTTGTCATTGCCCAGGCTAATCTCGAACTCACAATGTTCCTGCTTCAGCCTCCCAAGTATCTGGGATTAAAGACATGTACCGGTGTGCCTGGCTGCAGCTCTTACTTTCTCCTGGTGTGTATGTGCCAGGGATACAAAGAAGAGTGACAGGACCCATGCCCATGGGTGCAAAAAGAGCCAGTGCAAGCCCCAGTCCAGGGGCTGGTCTGGCCCTCGCAGGGAGTTGCCATCCCTCACAGAGCCTTACCTGTCTTTCACAAAGTGGTAGGTGGTTTTAGTGGTACCCGTCCTGGAGGTGTTGGTGCTTGCAAAGACCTCATCAGCCACCAGGGCAAATCGGTCAGGATCACTGCTTGTGGCCCTGAGGACCACATGGAGGGGTGTGCCAAGTGGCACCGTTCTGTTCTCAAGTGGAGTGGAGAGCTGTGGGTCTGTGAAGATGCCCAAGATGACAATGACGTCTCCAGTGCCGGGGATGTGGATGGTGCTATGTCTGGAGAGGGCCAAGAGTGACAGCCTCACCACAAAGCCCAGCGATGGGGGCACTCACTAACCTCACACCCAAGGCCACCGAGTACTCATAGCCATAGGAAATAGGGTAGGGAGGAGCAAACTTGCTAACCTCCTGGAGGGCCTAAAAAGTGAAGCACCACCTCATTGATTCCTAGACCCTGGGCCCTTAAAGCTACCCCGCCTGTGATAATTTACATAAGCAACCCACAATGCATTACTTCATAGAAGTGTTTTGTTTTGTTTTGTTTTCCCACTGATGCTTTGAGTATCCATCCAAGAGGTGCCTATGGGGTCAGGTCTATAGCACAGTGGTAATGTGCTGCTCAAGAGAAGCTGGATCAGGGCCAGCAGGTGGTGTAGTGGTTAAGGTGCTGGACTCCCACATAGCCAACTGAAGTTTGAGTCCTGGATCCAGCAGCTTAAGATACATGATGGGCATGTGTGCACATGTGCCCAAAAACCCAAGAGGAGAACGGAGGAGAAGGAATTGCAACATGGCCATGCCTCCTGGGGGTTTGATTTCTCACTTTCCCTCTCTCTGTCTCTCTCTCTTTTTGAATTATTTTATTTAACTTTATTTATTAATTCACTTTATTTTAGCTTGACCAGAGAGGGACCGAGTAAGAGAAGTGGGGGAAAGTGAGAAAGCAAGCTGCCAGGTCCAGGACTTGAACCATGGCCAACCATGTGGGAGTCCAGCACTCTTAACCATCCATGCCACCTGCTGACTCCACCCTCTCTCTGTCTCTTGGCCAGCGCATGCACCCTATGGCAAAATCCTTAAAAAGAGAGAGAGAGAGAAGCTGGATCCCTAGGGTCTAGCTCTGTAACCTAGTGCTTAAGGGAGCTGGATCTCACATGGCTGACTCTGCAGTTTGAGTCCTGGGCCTGGCAGCTAAGAACACACCAGACACGAGTGTGTGTGTGCCCAAGTCCTGAAAGGATAGAGAAATGGAGGAGAAGGGATTGTGGTATGACCACGCCCCACTAGAGAGGGATTCCTTCCTCTTTCTCTGTCTCTCTTTGGAGAGCACATACACTGTCTGGAAATTTTTTTTAAAAAGAGAGAGAGGTCAGATTTCACATGACAACTGGGGTTTGCATCCCCAGCCTGGTCGGCCTGAAACACACTGCTCATGCTTAGGCATGGGTGTCCACAATCCAGCAGGCTGCAGGACTGGAGGAAGGGGATTGCAGTGTGACCATAGCCTGAGGCAAGGGATCCTCTCTTCCCTCTCCCTGTCTCTGTCTCTGTCTCTCTCACATATACATGCATGTGGTCTTTCAGGAATAAAGAAAAGGAAAAGGAGGAGCTTGTGTTTGGGGGTGGGCATGGGGAGCCGATATCGAGGGCGTGGGCTCTCCTCCCTGGGTTAGGCCGAGTAACGGGAGCCCAGGAGCTGACGGGGGCATCCAGAACTCACGGGAAGGAGACCACTGGGTAGGGCTGGTTCTGGCTGACGGTCACCACCAGAGGGTACAAGCAGCTGAAGCTGAGCTTGGTGGAGTCAGTGAGGTTGAAGCCAGGGAGAACCCGCAGAAACTCCACCTCCAGAGAGTACACGGCATGGCTGTTGTTGGTCTGGAAAAGACAGAGAGGCTGCCATTCCACTCAGACCTCCCGGGGAAACGCCTTCCTCCATTCTCATGGGCTATAAGTGGTTTATTTCAATGACACTTGTGGGAAAATTTACTGAATGTGGGCTATATGCTAGGCACAGCGGCTCGGGTACAGTCCCTTGGAGGAGATCCCATTAGTAGTCCCATTTCACAGAGAACAAACAGGCTGAGAAAGTCTTGAGAAAAGCAAGTAACAGAGACAGATTTCAACATCTCTCTTATTTCAGGTCCTGTGATCTTTTTTTTTTTTTTTTTTTTTTAGGTTTTTGCTATAGGGCGCGAGCGCTCACCAGACAGACAGAGAAAAGCAGAAAGTGAGAAATCACCCCCCAGGGGGGATGGCCACGCCACAATCCCTTCTCCTCCATTCTCCTCTTGTGATCTTGGGCATGCACGCACACGCGCCCGGCGTGAGTTTTAAGCCACTGGGTCTGGGACACGAACCACAGTCGACTACATGGGAGTCCAGTAACATAGCCATTACACTAACTGCTGGTCCCCAGGGCCTATGTTCTTTACCTCTGTGCCCATGGTTCTCAAATATCAGTGTACCTTCTAGAATCCTGTGGGGGGATCAGCAGGTGGTGTGGTGGTTAAGGTGCTGGACACTCCCACATGGCTGACCACGGTTCAAGTCTTGGACCTGGAGGCTTGTTTTCTCACTTTCCCTCTCTCTCTCTGAGTCTATGGTCACATTAAAAATAAAAATGAATACATAAATGAAATTTTAAAAAAAGAATCCTCTGGGGGGGAAATACAAGAAATGGACCACTTTTATAAAGGAGGTGGGGCCTGTGGCCTGCTGGTTAAGGAAGCTGGAGGGAGAAACGGAGGAAAAGATATAGTCACATGACCACATGGCTGACCATGTATTTGGAATCCCAGCCTGCTCCCCCTTGCTTGAAGCTAACCACACACTTGGGGGAGTGTGTGTGTGTGCGCGTGCACGCACGTGCACGCACACACATGCACAAAATCCCAACAGGATGGAGAGACAGAAGAGAAGGGATTATGACATGACTATGCCCCATTGGGGGACGCTTTCTCTCTCTTGCTCTCTCATGTCTGTCTGTCTCTTTTTTTTTTTTTTTAAACAAACAAACAAAAACAGGTCCCTATCCCAAGATTTGGATACCTTTTCCGGATTTTATTGCTTACATAGCTTTTTATTATTATTATTTAACTTGCCATAGGACATGTGTGCTGACCAGTGAGAGAGGAACTGAAAAGGCACCCTCCGTGGGAGATGGCCACGCTGCAATTCCTTTTCTCCTATCTCCCTCCTTTCAGGACTTTGGGCATGCACACACAAATGCCCAGCCTGTTTTCAAGTCAGTGGGTCCGAGACCCACCAAGAGCCCCATGTGGGGTCCCAGGCAACCTAAGCACCATGCCAGCAGCTCATCTGCCATTTATTTATGTCAACGGTGCAGGCCAGGTAGAGGAGAGAGCAAGCAATCCCCCAGTGGGTGTGGCCTTAGCACAATCCCTCCCCCACTCTCCATCCTGATAGGGTGTGGAGCCCATATGCACACACACCCCCGCGTGTGTTCAAGCCTCCCGGGCCAGGATTTTACCCACATGGTCAGCCATATAGGACCTTACCCTTAACCACCAGGCCACAGAGCAGTGCTACATACATCTTTTCTTTCTTTTTTTTTCTTTTTTATATCTAGTTTATTTAACTTTATTTAAATAATTGATTTTAATTTGACCAGAGAGGGACAGAGTGAGGGGAGGGAGGAGTGAGAAAGCAAGCTGCCAGGTCCAGCACTTGAACCATGGTCAGTCATGTTCTTTAGTAAAGATCTATGGGGGCGGGGGGCTGGCAGGTGGCGTGGTGGTTGGGGGTGCTGGACTCCCACATGGATGACCATGGTTTGAGTCCTGGACCTGGCAGCTTGCTTTCTTTAAAAAAAAAAAAGAAAGAAAGAAAAGATCTATGGGGACCAACAGGTGATATGATGGTTAAGGGTACTTGACTCCCTCATGGCTGACTGTATACACACACACACACACACATATATATATTATATAAGTATATATATAGTATATATTGTATATAAGTATGTATATATACACACACATATATAAGTGTATATACATATATATTGTATATAAGTTCTTATTGTATATAAGTATGTGTATATATATACACACATACACACACATATATATTATATAAGTGTATATATAGTATATATTGTATATAAGTACTTATTGTCTATAAGTGTGTGTGTGTATATACATATATATAGTGCTCCTAACTGCTTACTGGTGCTGCCACCTCTTTCTTTGGAAGGGATCTGACATTAAAATATATACATATATAAAGAAAGAGGGCCACATCAGTGAGCAGCGAGAGCACAATCCAGCTTTGTTAATAATCATTGATGGAGGAACCAGCAGTTGGCATAATGGCTATGTTGCTGGACTCCCATGTAGTCAACCGTGGTTCGCGTCCCAGACCCAGTGGCTTAAAACTCACGCTGGGCGCATGTGCGTGCGTGCCCAAGATCCCAAGAGGAGAATGGAGGAGAAGGGATTGCGGCGTGACCATCCCCCTGGGGGGTGATTTCTCGCTTTCTGTCTCTATGTCTCTCTCTGTCTGTCTGGCGAGTGCACGCGCCCTATAGCAAAAACCTCTCAAAAAACAAAACAAAACAATAATCATTGATGGAACTTGGGGGAAATCCCTCAGTTTCTCTGCGCCTTAGTTTACTCATCTGTGAAGCGCACACTTGAGTGTGAACCCCCAGCCAGTGCAGGGTCACGGGCATGTTAAAGCATTGGCCTGCACGTGGCACAGGCTACGGCGTTAATAAACACTGGCTGTGGTTGTGGTGGACAACACCTTGGAAAGCCATATCCCAAGCCATCAAACGCCAAAAGCATCCATTGGCTGTTCCTACTGTGATGGGCGGCAACGTGGTCTCATGTCTTCTTTTCCTTTTTAAGGTTTTTGCCATACGGCATGTGTGCTTACCCTAGAGAGACAGAGAGAGACGGTGACAGGGAAAGTGAGAAATCACCCCCGGGAGGGATGGCCATGCTGTGATCCTCCTGGGACTTTGGGCACGCATGCACATGTGCCCAGCACACGTGTTTCAAGTCACCAGGTCGGGGACTCAAATCGTGGTTGGCCATGTGAAAGCCCAACGCCTTAACCACCATGCCACTTGCTGGCTCCAGTGGGTGGTTAAGATGGCTGGATCCCACGTGGCCTGTCGTGAGGCTCAAGTTCTGGACCTGGTGGCTTGAAAACATCCCAGGTGCTTGCACACGTGCACATGCCCAAAATCTCAAGAGGAGAAGGGACTGTGGTGTGGCCATCCCCCTGGGGAGTGATTCCTCATTTTCTTCCTGTCTCTTTCTCTGTTTCTCTTGCACCCTATAGCAAACTAAGAAAACAAAAAAGACTAGTCTGATGGCCAAGACCAGATTCCATTCCAGAGACTTCCTCAGTCAGCTGGAAATAAAGTCATGACTGGTGCCTTGCCATCATTCCCCAGCCCTTCACCGGCTCCTGCCCACAGCCCACCAGGCAGCCCCGCCTAGCTTGCTTACAGAAAGGCGGAGCCCACAAGCATCCTCCTTCTTCTCCAGCGTGAAGACCTGGACACGGCGACTCTGCTGTATGGTGCTGACACTGGAGCAGCCCGAGAAGGCACCCTTCTTCAGCATCCAGTGGTGCGTGTCCAGGAAACAGCTGTGTAGGACCACCTCAATTGTCCGTGGCTGGCAGTGCAGGGCCACCGACGTCCTGGACAGTTCTGCAGGACAAGAGCCAGGGCAGGGGCCTTCTGAGGCTCCTGGGCTGATGCCAAGGGAGCAGATGCTCGTTCTGATCTGGGTCAGGGGACACTGCCGGGATATTAGTCTGACCCTCAGACACCCTTACGCAAGGACTCTCCCTCACCCACGTGAGTCCCTGCAGCCTGGCTTGCCCGGTGGGACGCTCCCTGACCCCAGCCTTAGCAGATCCACCCAGAAGCTATGTCCCAGCAATTAGGAACTGGCCTGCACAGGAAGTAAGAACGCTTGGGAGGGAAGAGGGCATCTTCTGCCAAGGGGGCTGGGAGGCAGCAAAGGTCGGCACGTGGAGAGAGGAACAGGGCAGGTGCAGGTGCAGGTGCGGGGTCAGAGTGAAGGAGAGGGAGGTGGCGGATTCGATCCCGCACGTCTCGGCCCACAGAGAACCTGCTGCAGTCCGCCCTTCGCCTCCAGGAAACACCATTTTTCTCTCACTAAACACCTTTGGTTTCTGTTATTTGTCTAGCAAAATTATTTGTTAATATTTCATTTGTTTTTGTTCTCTGTGATTTCACTCCCATTTCAAGCTGGAAGCCAGACCCTTGGGGTTTTTTGTGAAGGGCTAACTTGTTTTAAGTCACTGACTTTTTCAGTCTATGAAAGCCTAAACTCTTTAGAGGAGAAAACCCTGAGGGTGGGGAAAAAAAGGGCTCTTAAGCTAGAGGGAGAGAGACCAGAGCCAGCAAGGCCTCTTCAGAATTTCTTAGTTTCTTTTTTTAAGAGAGAGTTTTTGCGGGACCAGCAGGTGTCATGGTGGTTAAGGGCATTGGACTCCCACTTGGCCGACCGTGGTTCGAGTCTCTGACCTGGCAGCATGCTTCCTCACTTTCTCTCTCTCTCTCACTCTGTCTCTCTCTGGTCAAATTAAAATAAGCAAATAAATAAATGAAGTAAAATCAAATAATTCTTTAAAAAAAGAGAGTTTTTGCTATAGGGTGTGTTCATTCATCAGAGAGACAGAGACAAAGAGACAGAGAAAGTCATAGAGAAAGAAAGTGAAAAATCTCCCCGGGGGGGGGGGGGGGGCG